TTAGTTCGCAAATGTCATTCGAGTAAATATTGTTCAGTACACTTTTAGTGCATATTCTATAAATAAATAATCGCGATTACGTAAAATACTAATTATTACACAAAATGGCATTAATGCATTTCAATTCATCAATCCGCATCAATACGTATCCCCAATACGTCTGGATGAAACGAAAATACATAGGGGCAAGTGGAAATGATTTGAAAAACCTGAACACCCCTCATTTTGTATGTGTGTGCGTGCACAATGATGTCTCTATTTTGATTTTGACATTTGCTCTTCAGTAATCCAAATTGCATCCAAGCAAGAGGAGCAATGCATCAAATTTTGAACGCGCATCGCGAAAATCCGATCTGTTCGCACGCCGAGTTGCTTTGAGTTTTATACGCAGGGCAGGAATTTTATATGGCAACCTGAAGGGGGAAGCATATGAAACTATCAAAGTTCGCTAAGAAATATTTGGTTTGGCGGGCTATCTATACAATCTATAGGCTTGAAAAGCGACATTTTCATTGCAATCGGGACCGACAACCAGGAAATTTACATCAACGATTGTCTGGTAAAAATGTCTGCTGCCTTTTCTGAATTAACACGATTTTACATCCTGTCATTACGCAAAAAAAGGCCATGGAGTGGTATGCCGCCAACCACGTGCAGGTGGTTTCCACGGAAAAGAACCCTCGCAATTTGCCAGAGCTCCATCCAAATCGAAAAATATTGGTTATCGTCAAGCCGAACCTGAAGAAGATCCTGGAAGCGAGAAGCAGTTTAAGGCGTTCTGGGGCGAACAAAATGGAAGAGATGGCTGAGCAGAATCTGATGGCAAGAGTTAAACGGCAGTTCGGATTCGGTCAACCGGAAGCTTAGCTGAATATTTTTTCTGTATTTTATACTAAATGAACTTAAAAAAGAAAAAAAAAATAATCAATTTACACGCATTCCTGTTTGACCAAATTTTGATCGTAACACCCTTTATGTATATCAACTTACCCCACTGTATGGGGTAAGATGAAATAATGCACACCATTGTTTATTATAATTTAATATTTTTTCATGAGCCTTAAAAATCGGCTTTGAAACTACCGTTTCATCGTGCACCAGTGTATCTTATTAAAGTGGCTTAAATTTTTTGATATGCCTTCCACAAAATCCTCACCACATAGCTATATAGACTATAGAATAGAATTGTTCAAGCTTGGCAACTTCACCGAAGATTACAATGACTGACACGCAAAATTAGACATCACTAGGAACATAAGCAAAGAAGTCATTCCGGATGAATGACCTCCCTGGAAAGATTGTTGATAGCGCCGGTTTGATCAAGTTCTATCAGGGTTTGGTTTACGTTTTCTGATAAAAACTAAAAAAGACAACGAAAAAACAACCATTAGATGGGCTTGAGATTAGACACATGATGTTCAGCTCAGTAGGCAAAAACGGCCGCTCCTAGGCCACCGAGCCCTTCATATCCCCGGCACAGGCGACGACGAAAAGTTTCGCAAAATACACGATAAGCAAGCGATTTTACCAGAAATCTCTTTAATATGAAAAGACCTGGGACCGCGTTTTTCTGCTCAGTAAGTAAGCCACTGCAACCGACGATCTTTCCAGTGGCGTCACCTTAACCTCAATCTACCTGTTCAACAACTCTCAAAACGTAAACAAACAAAACAATATTGGTTCCAATGGATACAAATCAGTGAAACTAAAAGACCCTATGCCTTTTGAAACTGATTTGAATGTTAACATGATCCTAAATAACGTTTTCAAAGTTGTTGAACAGGTAAAAAGTGAGGTTACGCGAAGCCACTGGATCTTTCAAATCCGAAAACTGAAAGCTACGAAAAAGCACTTACGCCTTCATTAAGTTCCACTTTCACGCGACGTTCAATGTTTTGATTTGCTCTTTACGCATTGCTCAGACTATGATAACAAGCTTTGACCGACGTGAAGCCCTGGTTAAACAAGCTATTCAATTGAAATTACGTTCTCAAAAGCAGTCAATAATGTATCGAACTCTTTGAATCACAAAACCAAGAGCGAAATTTTCTGCAAACATAAAATTTATGATACAACTTTTCTTTTTCTTCCCGGACGCGTACATAGTATTTTATAAAATGCGATTACCCTAATACAATTTGCATGGTTATTTAGCTTAACGACGTGTTCAGGGTATCATCCAACCCATTTGTGGAATAGTTTTATCATTTGGGTTATCGTTAGGGTATGGTATTTTTAATAGGGTGCAGAAGTCCATTTTATACACAACTTGCCTCCGAGTTCATTAAGAAATATCAGCAACAACCACGTTTACCTTGCACTATATAATAAATAAGCGCTGAGCAATTTACCCAGTGAATTGCTTATCCAAAAGTATGTATTCCTTTGATGACTGAAAAATTATGATCCCTTAGTTTGAAGTTGTCAGGACTAAGGTTCGGAGGTAAATCTTATACCAGTAACGCACCACGAAAAGGTGATCTACCAGCGCTACTGGATGTCCGAACACTCCGAACTAATCGACTACTCTCACAAAACTCCTTTTCTTCCCCACAGCACCCAAGGACTAGAACAGGCCGAGGTACAAGTATGCGCACTAGTTATCACAATTCTCACCCCCTTATGTTTTGTATGGGAAATCCGTTTAAACGATGTATAGAATAAGGGTTACAATTCTATCACACACTATTATATGGCACAACCCATTCTGCGAGAGTAGCATTTTCATCATCGCTCGCGGTCATTCACTCCAATCAGCAGAGTCCTTTTGAATAAAACGGTGTAAAAAAACAAAAAAATTCTCACACACAAGTGTTAAAGAGGATGCAGAGTTTAAATCCAAGGGAAAGAAAGAAAACCCAAACAAGGGTTCTTCCTTAAATCGCTTGTCTATAGGTCTTAGGCTTAAACAGCTTTTCAATATCCCGACTTAGTAAAAATTTAAAATTTTAGACCTGCATAAATATTCATGATCTAAGAGAATTATCATGGTTTAGATTTTTTTAAATGGGATATGAATGTTTTTTCAAAACATGTTGAAATATGACCAATTTATTCAAGTAATATTATACAAATGAAATTTTAATTGTAATTGATAGCTACTGTATATTTCCCTTCTTATTGGCTGATTACGCTTCTTCAGTGAGTGTTTTGTCGGCTCTCAACTTAGTGTTTTTGATACAGTTCCACCGTTATTAATTGAGAGCTTTCTATGCCAATTAATGCATGAATTTGTATCTTGTGTTGCAAGCACAATGATACTATATGCCCAGGAAAGTCGAGAAAATTTCCAACCGGAAGATTTCCTCAACCGGACCGCAAGATGGCAAACCAAGGATCTAAACCCTAGGTCTATACATCTGCTATCCTACCCGTTAAAACTAGTCAGCTCGTGCGATACACTAGGCTCACATGAGTGTCGTATCTGAGTCCTCCCCAGGGTGGAGTCACATATCCGTCCAGGTTCTGGTACATTCACTTATCTCTTTGTATCCATGATGTACTTTCCCCATAAAAGCGGTCACCTTTTTCGGCCTGAACTCCCCTTTTATTTTGAAACCTGAATAGTTATTTTCCAATAGAAATACACTCAAGTCGCGTTCGAAAAAAATAAAGCATTGAAAGTAAGGAACGTTAGTTTCTTCTTCTTGAAATATTGTGTATAACAATCATATCTGTTGTAAATCCTTTCTCTCGTATTCCCTCTCATGATTTTTTTTTCTGCGAAAAAGCCCTTTCCAAAATATTTACAGCAATTAGGTAGTACTTCTTATGTTCTTCCTAAGCTATCTACTGAAAAAAAAACTGAAACTGAAATGATACTTGTTCTTGACCTCTAATAGCTAATAGCGTCTCCTTATTGATTGGGGCAGAATTAAAAAAAGAAGTTCTCTGCCTGCTCATTTTTCTAATGATTATGCGGTAGAATCTCGATTTTAACAAGATATTTTCAAACTATTTGACAAACTCTTTTTCTTAGACCACTGAAAGTAGTCTTTGTAGTGGCACCATTTCAGAAATATAGATGATACAAAATCAAAAATGATTGAGTGCACAAAGTTAGCAACGCCAGGTATGGTTAATCACAAATTTTGTGTGCAGTGATTATTTCCTTGCACGATATTTGCATAGGACCTATCCTGCCGCTCTTCGCCCGTTCGTCCCAAAACGACTATGGGACAGACATACGAAGAGCGGCAGTATCCTTGTTGATCGATTTCTTGATATGCCTGCAGCTCTGATCAACAAACTCGGCAGCATATACTTTGCAGTCGCGATTTTCAAATGCTGCGCGAAAATTCTAAATGAATCAATCCATTTATTTGCAACGAGAATATTCATGTAATACGATACGATAGAACTATACCCATTTTGTAAATGTCCTATCATAATCCTATTCCAAAGCACACACAGCGTATAAAATACATCGCAACAAACAAGTTAGGTACATCCAGTAGCATCATGCGCACATCTCAAACACAACAAGTTCGCATCGATGCCAAAACCCACGCCACCGATTTTATCTGCGTCGTTTCTTACGAATCATTCCCAATCCACAGCCCAGAATGAACAGCATGTGATCCCTAGTTCCAAGAGTTCCCCCTCATTTTTGTTGCTTTTCGCATCCTGCTCTGCCGCTGCTGCAGCGAGTGTCTGGTATCCTGCCAGAATACACAGGCAAAGCCCGAGAGACAAAAATCAATTTCTCAACTTTCCCCCTCTCTCTATGGACGGTCCACAGCCACATTCCAGTTCCCAAAGTTTTGTACTGTGTCCCTTTTTGCATTCGTCCCTCAGTTCCATCCCTTGGCGAACACAATCCTCGGCTCCGGCTATACTGTGAGGCATACATCCGCATTCTCTACGTTTCCGTTCGCCCTCTTATAAGCACTCGGTTTGGTAGGTATTTGGTGCCGTAAACGTCTACATAGCTTGTTGAAGGGGAGGACCGAGAGCGTGGGGTGGCGGACGATGGAGGGATTTCTGAGTTCTATACTTACACAGCATCATCCTTGGGAAAGCAGTACAGACTGCACGTAGGGCTTCGGCTGTTTGTACATCCGGCGACCGAACAGTAAGATGGAGGCATCGTTCACGAGATCAAATTTCCTGAAAACACTTGCTCCGAGATTGGCTTGAGGAGATATTTCTGCTTTCCACACTGACTGGTGGTGATTTTCCACCACACGAGATGTTTGGAAAAACTATGACTCAAGATTTTCACGTATACTTTACTCCACCGACTGGCACTGGTGCACCCTCACACACGCTGAATACTATAGAGGACCGTTGGGAACTAGCTCATAATTAGATAAAAAAAAAGCGGAGCGCCACGAACTGTAGACCTAACTGTCCTCGATTCTTTCCTCCCGGCGCGCAGTACTCTAGCTCTAGTAGCAGCTGCCCAATGGCTTCCCCTTTGGTGTCTTTCTTCGCCCTGCGATCCAATTCTCGCACCTCACACTAGCGCAATAGCACTGGCACTGTACAAAACGCGCTGACTCTTCTTCTGGCACCGACCGACCGACTCGACGAACTGAGGAATCCGTTCCACGAAAAGAGGTCCACTTCACTCTAGAGATTTCCTTCTCTTTTTTCTTTTTTTCCCACCTCCTGTACACTAGAAAACGTCGGATGTGTGACGGTGTGGAAATTTTTTTCTAGGTCGTGGCAATTTTCCAGCCTTGGTTTCCCGATTCCTCACCGGATTCTACGTAATTCCGACTTCCCTCACTGTAATGCGGCACCTTATCACAAAATCAACACCAACATTCGACTGTTCACACTATATTTTGTCACTTTTTTGTGCCTCCTCCACGAGAACGTGCAGATTTTCCCCCTTTGTGGCCTGTTCCTGTGCGACGATGATGGATGTGGATCTATACACCGATAGCTTCACGGGACTTTTAAAGATCTTTTCCTTCTGCCCCTTTTCGTGTTTATTCCGATGGCTGAAAAGTTCTCTCGCTCAGGCTGCGTGCGGTGTACTTTCTCTCCCGCGTGTGCTCCATGTTTGCTTTCCACCAATCGCCATGATGTTTACTCTCGTTATACGCTTAACTGTCCCATGTTATGTGAAATTCTTAGGCCGTGGGACATTTATGCTTAAAACGGTAGTTTAGTACACAACACATAAGAATGCAAAGATGTGTGTGTTGGCAACCGGCGAATGAGCGTAGAAGCAGAGTCACGAGAGAGCAAACTAACGGTACAAATGAGAGAGCTTTCGATGGACGAGCGATCGTAAAGAAACGGGACCAAAGATGCGTGAAATTTCAGCCACGAGTGAAGTTTTGCTCACCGACGATAAACAATTGGAAAATCCTTGGAACAAATTAAACACCTCGTAAGATAAGGCTGTTGGCTGGATTTTTTTTTCGAAACCTACCGGTCAACCTACGTAACGGAGTTGATAAGGGATACCGAAATCGTTGTTATCGCGCTGCTATCATCATTCATGATTCAAAACAAAACAGAGACGACGAAGGTTTTCCATCGCTCACTCTCTGATCTCTGCAAGATCTCACACTCGTCTGATGTTTGCCTCCACGTCGTTCTTTACAACCACATGGACACAACAGAGATCGCAATAAAAAAGGATGAAAGGGAAATTTGTTTTGACTGGATTATGTTTTACTCTGCTCTTCGCAATGAAAAATAATTCATAGTAAATCAATGCCGGTGCCCGTTGCGACTGTCATTGAGGGCGTATTGATTTGTATTATTTAGGGGAGGAAGTAAAGGATAAAGTGCAATGCAAAACTCACGTGCTCGAATCCTTGGGGAAACGGTGGAATGATAAATTCTGAATGTTCGGCCCTTCGACCTTGTTGTTGCAACCAGCCACTTGGCACTTTCCGCACACCATGACTAATCAATGTACTACACTCCACGGGGCAGTAGTAGAGAAAAGGCACTTTTGTTTCTGATAAAAAATGACTCCACTAACTGGTAGGCACGTAGCGAAATTATTCTCCACAATTTGAACAGTGTCACATGAATGATTCAGCACTTGAACCTCTATTTTTGACTAATATAAAAGGCAGATATTACAAGGCACATGGATTTCTTCTGTTTTCGACTCTAACATGGAAAAAAATAATGTGCAGAACCATTCACGATGATGCACTATCCTAATCAGACGAGAAATAACGACTACTAGCGAACGAAAGGGGCACCTAATAGTACTCTTGCAATGAAAAAGCTTTTTTATCAATGTCGTTGTCGATGGTGAAATTTTAGTACACAAAAAAAAGTGTAAACAAAGATGGAACGAAATGGAAATGGATCGGGACACAGAGTGATACAGACGTCAAACTCTGTGAGTTTCGTGAAACTTCTTCAGAGTTCTTTTTACAACAAATAAGACTTATGTTGATAATTCTTTACTTTAAAGTTTCTATGATTTCGATATATACATTTAAACATCATCATTGATTCGATCATTTATTTATCGGTCGTATGATCCCTGGGGGAAACTAACGAATTAAAATTGGCTCACTACTTGACTAGCCTATTGAGAAATCCAACTTAAACTCCTGCGCGCCTGGTGGCAGGAATAAGCACTAACCGACGGTGATAAGTCTGTGACGGCCCTTGAATTTCATGCAAATTTCTTGTTAGAATGGATTAATCTTGTACAAAATGCATAAAACTATTATTATTATTTATCTTTATTAGGGAGGCTTTCAACCTTGGGCTGGTTCGCCTCCAATTTGCATAAAACTATTTTGTAATGCATTGTCCCTAAATAAAAAGCTACAATAAGACTTATAAATTACAGAAAACATGTTAAGGTTTGAAATCATCTACCGATTAAACAGAAGACGAAGTCGGCCAACTAAATCCATCGACGAAAAACTATTAAATAGGCCGATTGCTCGGTGTATTGCCAGACGAAAAACGATTTAATCTGCTGATTAAGACACCGACTGAAATTAATTACAAGTGGCAATAGATTTAGTCGGTTTGGATGATGTGAATGATGTGAAGATATTTTCAAAACAAAGCACTTTAAAATTCAGCATTACTTACGATTATTAAGAGTACTACTTTTTTGCTCGGATCATGTTTAGACTTCCACAGAAACTCGCTAGAATAAATAGAAAATAATAGTTTTTTGGTCGTAATTTCAAAAATGTATTCAGTTTGACACATTATTTCGAACTTATCACCGCTGTAATTGCAGCGCCACGGTGGCCGAATCAAACTTGGATTTATCAATTGGTCCAAAGCAAATCATACCGTGGTACTCCTTTAATCAAGTTCCTCAAAAAGTACAATTTGTTGTACTAGCTTAAAGCAGTACAACCATAGAGGTAACTCTAAGACTAGAAGGTCCCGAAATAACGTGCTCAACTTTTTGGCTCAGCTCTGGTACTCTCTTCGGATTTCTTGGGACCAATGGCTAGTCAAGTAGTGAGCCAATTTAAAATCGTTAGTTTCGTATTGATTGTTGGTACAATGGTAGTACAACAGTGAACTTTGTATGTCTGTACAAGGTATAACCAACAATCAATACGAAACTAACGATTTTAAATTGGCTCACCACTTTAGTAGCCTATTGGTCCCAAGCAAACGATTAACGTACCCTATTCTAGTTGAAATTCTATTACTACACTATGTTTGTTTTGATTCGCTATGAAAGTTTGACAGATAACATCAGGGGTGTGTGGATTCATGCAGAACATGCAGGGGTGAGTGAAATAGCTTAGGACTGCTTGGGACCGTTGTTCTGGTACTGAGTGAGCCAAAAATAATAATGATTTTCTTCGGGACCCAGTGGTCTTAGAGTTACCTCTATGGTATAACGTACCCCATTCTAGTCGAAACTCTACTACATTATGTTTGTTTTGATTCGCTATGAAAGTTCGAAAATGAAGGGTTCGTGGATTTTCCTATGTTTCGAGTGGTGCATCGATTAGCTTGGGACCGAAGAGAGTACCAGACCTGAGTCAAAAAGTTGAGCAAACGTGCTTCGGGAACTTCTAGTCTTAGAGTTACCTCTATGGATCAAAGACCAGGGGATCCCGGAAAAACAAGTTCAATATTTTGGCTCAGGAAGTACGTGACCTTCGCTCCCAAGCTAATTGAAGCATCCCTCCAAACGTAAAAAAACTGTTGACGCCAGGATAGGCTGGCTGAAACTCAGGGGCGAGAAAGTGTAGCAATTCAATTCAATTCACTGTAAAATAGTCTTGATTTTTTAATAAAAATCTGGACAAATGTGGCCTTTATCATTTTACCAGCACGAAGAAAAAATATCAGGATAAATCCTGATCAATCAGGATATCTGGCAACCTTATAGTCGCTCAGCTGCGCCGGTGGTGTAGTGGTAAGTGTGACTGCCTCTCATTCATAGAGGCCTGGGTTCAATCCCAGTCGGTGCCGTTGGGTTTTTCTGAGGCATAAAATCTATAATCACGCCTAGTAATAAAGTAAAGGGGGAAGTAAAGCCGTTGGTCCCCAGATGAGGCCATGAGGCATGAGTTGATGAATCCAGGGGTGGGAGCTGCCTCCCTGGCGTCGGTAACATTGGTACTCAGAACGGAAAACAAGATCGACGGAAAACAAATCATCGAAAATAATCTTTTAGGGAAATGGCTCTAATGTTGGCATATGGATTGGGCCCATAGCTAAAAATCTGCTATTTATCAATTTTATCTAGATGAACGTGTCATTGGGACGGTACTAATGGATATTTTTGGTCGCTATTGAAAATTTATTCGATTACTGAATTTATGTATGGGCCCAAATTAGGGGCATTTAGGCTGACATAACATACATTTCGCCTAGTTGCTATATTTATAAATATATCTGCCAGACCCAATTTCAGGACCCAATTTAGATGTCAAATAGCAGAACCAATCGAGCATATCACGACCAACAACAGAAAAGAGCATATAAGCTTTTGCGAACAAAACTTTGGAAACCTCAGCTACACAAAACAACACCATCAGCAGGTTGGGGAATGTTTCCCCTATGCGATGATGCCAATTTACGTTCGGTTGGTGATGAAAGAACTCTAACAAAGTACTTTTTTTATACAAGTTGATGGTACCTTTTCTATTATAGGTTGCTTTTTGATAGATCAAAATTCTATTCGCCAGATTATACCGAGGATTATACATATAGACAACCCTGGACGCAAGACTGGACCTTAATGCTACACGCAGAGAATTTTTGATTTTTAAAAATTTAAAACAAAAAATAATATTGTTGTGCTCAACGATCGCCTTATTATTGTTTCAATGGGGTATTTTTGTTCAAACATCTTTAATTTTTTTTAAATAACAATATTATTTTTTGTTCTCTTGCTCAAATTTCCAAAGCATGAAAATTGTTGATTTAACAAAACGCATGGTTTATTTCAAGGGCAACATAAAATTAATTCAGGTACCATGATTGTTGATTGAATTATATTTTTTTGTTCAGTGTGGAGAAGCTAGAAACCGAACCCGTCCTTCGCCATTTTGTTCACGTGCCAGTAAAGTTTTGCGTATCAAAATGTGTTCCGGTTCCGATAATCCAATAATTATTGAAGAACTGGATGTAGAAAAGGTGTCGGTTGAAGAAATCGAGTTGATACATTTATTGAATAATTATGGAATGTCCGAACAAGTTATTGAAGCGTTTCTCGGTAGGTAGTATTGTTTTTTATTCAGTTACGGTATCCTAACATTATTTTTGCTTTTAATTGTTACACCATCGAAACCTTGAAAATCATACAGAGGAAGGAAATTGAGAAACTCCTTCCTTCGCCGTTTCTTGCTGAGCGAACCAGATTCATTCATGAATTGGACTCTTGGAGGGAGGCACAGGTAAATTATCATCAAATCATTCTTGTTTAGTGCAACTAACTAGTTATTCCCTTTCATTACAGGGGGTTTCAAAAGTCAGCGAACAACCCGTTATAGTACGTTCAGACTACAGAGTTATAACATGTTATAGCGTTATCTTGATGGTGGTTTCTGTGTTGCAATTATTTGACAACCGTTATAACATGTTATAACTCTCCAGTCTGGCCAGCGCTTTACTTGCAATTCATCTGTGACCCGAGACAACAACGCGCGGCCCTCTGAAGAGACTCAAGTGTCTCGAGAAGCCTGTACTGCCACCTTCTTATTGAACGCGTCATCGAAAGGGCAAGCCATCCTAAGGAAGAACAGCAGAACCGCGTTCCTCTCCAGATCTGACAAAAAAAGTGTCACCCACATCGTTGTTGACGAGTTCAAAACCCGTTTCTCTAAGCTGTCATCGTCGGAACTTCTGGATAGAGCTTGTGAGCTGAAGCAATTATGACATAATATACGCATCAAAACAATTTCTCACTTATTTAAAAAATAAAACAAGAAAATACCACGAATTATAAAAACAGTGCCGAGTTTTATAATACATACAGTCAACTTTCGCTCGTTGGGCTAAACCCATAGCCCACTTAGCGAAATGCTTTCGTTACTTGGGCTGAGCTGTCAACGTGAAAATTGGTTGAGGGATACACCGATTGATTATTATCATCACAATTCTTGAGCAGCTATCCAAATGGTTCATCCATGAACCCTTCGAAAAAGGAATCAGCACTGTCAGAAGTAACGTTTGCCTTCGATTTAGGTATAGGCTACATCCCAACTAACGGGAGCCCAACTAAAACGTAGCCCACTTTAAGATAGCCCAACGCGCGAAATTCGACTGTATGTTATGAGGCTATCTTGATGACATTTTTCTTATCGGTAATTATTATAACGTCATGAAACTCAACAGTCTGAACAAGGCATAACATTTTGTGAGAGGGTCTCTCATAATTTTTAGCACAGAAAATGTGTTAAGAACTCACTAGCTTTTTTCAACAGTAAACCAGGTTTTCGTGAGTATTTCTATTCAGTTTCTCAGGGCCCGTGGTGACAGCAGGACGTGTCGGTATTACGACTCGCTATTTGTTTGAGCGGTGGTTGAGGTTGTGTACAAGTGTTGGTCTGTGTAGTGCTAAATCATTTCACCATATCAACATATGCTGATATCCAGTCGAGAACAAATCGTAGCGTATCCGACGATAATATTATATATATATTTTCAATCGGCATAAAAAGTGTCAAAAGACTTGTCAATCGCTTGAAAGCCGGTTTCCAGAATATTTATCAAACATCACCTGTAGGGGTAGCTGTCTACGTGGTCGCAAAGAGCGGACGTGCAAAATCATGGCTGGTAAGTGGCGACGAAATTTGGATCGTTTAAAGTTGCTATCACAGAGAGGTGTTTGGATTTTCTCTATTTTCGTTTTCGTGTCGTGAGTATAGGGTGGCCTATAGTGCAAATCCATTGTCGTAGGATGATAAGGTCGTTTATACCTTCATGATAAGCGCATCATGTACCCAGAGATACTCGACCGTTTTCTATCCTTGACATAAGAATGTCTCCTTTGTATTGGTTAGTTAATCTTACGGAGCATGAGAAGGTTTACATGAAGATGAAGGTGATCTAACGCACTGTTGAACATCGCAACAATATCACAATCAGCTCATGCAGCCACTTGTACACCAGCAACAATACCACTACATGGGAAGCTCACTTCCGTGATAGGTGTCTGTCTCGATCAACACGATTACTGTCGAAATTTTATTAGGCTGGAAAGGAATAGCTCCTGACCATCGAATTTGGTTGCGTAATCCGTATAAGACTGTTTTTAGCAAGTGGTTTCGCTTATTTCAACTGCACATGCCAACTGAGTGGAGAGAATACACACAGAGATAACAAAGGACGATGGACAAAATTAAGTGGCATGACAATCGGGAGGCTTGGCTGAGCGTGATTCTAAAAAGAGAATGAAGCAAGCAATTACGAATGAATGTTATGTATGCCTCTGATTAGCATGCCTAATGGAAGTGAAAGTTCACAATGAGTCAATGAATAGATTTGGGTGTTATGGAAGACTTAGGCTCTACTAAAATATTATAGATTGATAATGTAGGGTTTTTCTTTTTGTGAAGGGCACTGCGCTCAACAGACGGCGGTAGTGTTCAAACGTCCAACTCAATTCCTCTTTCTAAGTGGTGATTTGATTGCGGGTTTCACCCGTATTTAAACCGGAGTTTTTGCTGTTTTCACCAGTTTGTCTCCGTTACTCTTCTGGTTGTCACATCTATTTCGACTATATTTTTCTCAAGCTTCTCTATCTCTTCCTACGTTTCCTGGTCGTTGTTATCTAAAGACATACCTTCAGCCACCACACCACCACACGTACTGCTGCTGCTGCTTTGCTTTCTGTTGTGCTGCTGCTTTTACGTTTTTGGTTCCTTCCGGGTCTTCCACTTGGGGCAGGAATTCATCCGGTTCCCCTCCGTCTCACGAAGGAAGAATGTATTCTTATTCCCGTCATAACATATATTCCCTTTCCGACTGAGAAAATGCAGCGAGAAGGGAATCACTTTTTACATATTCATGTTATACACCTCGCACACTCGTACATATTGAAAGTTGCTCCCCGACGCGATATTAACATTAGCTTAATAGAAAATTAATTGTATGGGATAATGCATTCAGATTTAAACTTTATGAATATCACCTTCGTCTCCACTATCCGATATCTATCTACCTATGTCCACAGGATTCGCGTCCAGTGATTTCAAATTTGCAATCTCGCCCATGGTCGGCTTCGTACTTCCATTTCGATAGGCAATACCTTGCATGTGCTTTATTTCGACCATTATTGTCGAAATTTTTGCTTCCAACAGCGGCACTGTCCGAGCTGCAGGCAATAAGTAAACAACTCCGATATCATGATCGACACGGTGAAGAATAACTCCGACAGCTGAGAGCAAACTTGAGAACACTATGTTGAGAGCAATCCAAATCTCGTTTAAGAGCGTTAATGTTGGATAGAAGAAGTGCCCTTTATGCGAAGCAATTATCTCTAACCCTGACATCAGAGTCATCGTTTCAAAGCCATTTCAAATTCGGATTTAATGACACCAATAATTATAAAACTAAAAATCATCATTATTTTCTTTAAAACATATTTTTTGCTGCATTTCAGGTCCCAATCCATTCCAGAACCTCCAGAAGGAGCTCACCGTAAATGGAGAAACCTTCCGCTTTTTCGATATCGCTTCTTTCGAGGAGTTCAGTAAGTTTTTCACGAGGAAACGCCAGTTCTAGAAATTAATACTTACTTTCTTCCAGAGGAACTTCCCTACAGCATCCGTGTCCTGTTGGAATCAGCAGTTCGTAACTGCGATAACTTCCAGATCCTCGAAAAGGATGTCCGTGGTATTCTAAGCTGGAAGTCGACCAAGAGCATGAAGACCGATGCTGAGCTGGAGATCCCGTTCAAGCCAGCCCGTGTCATTCTGCAGGATTTTACCGGTGTTCCGGCAGTGGTCGACTTTGCCGCTATGCGTGATGCCGTCCTTAAGCTCGGTGGAGATCCGGATAAGATCAATCCGATTTGCCCATCGGACTTGGTGATTGATCACTCGGTGCAGGTGGATTTTGCCCGTACCTCGGATGCTTTAAACAAGAATCAGGATTTGGAATTCGAGCGTAACAAGGAGCGATTCACTTTCCTGAAGTGGGGCGCTAAGGCGTTCAACAACATGTTGATCATTCCTCCTGGTTCCGGTATCGTTCATCAGGTTAATTTGGAATATTTGGCACGCGTTGTGTTTCAGGATAATACCAAATCGAAGGACGGCGTTAAAATGCTTTATCCGGATAGTGTAGTCGGTACCGATTCGCACACGACAATGATCAATGGTTTGGGAGTTGTCGGTTGGGGTGTCGGTGGAATTGAAGCTGAAGCCGTTATGCTGGGTCAGGCGATTTCTATGTTGCTGCCTGAGGTTATTGGATACAAGCTAGTTGGTAAACTGAACTCTCTGGTTACTTCAACGGATTTGGTGTTGACCATCACCAAGCATCTGCGACAGATCGGTGTCGTAGGAAAATTTGTCGAGTTCTTTGGACCTGGTGTCAGCGAGTTATCGATTGCTGATCGTGCCACGATCAGTAACATGTGCCCGGAGTACGGAGCAACGGTTGGATACTTCCCAATTGATCAAAACGCTTTGGACTACCTCCGACAGACAAACCGTGCCGATGATAAGGTTCAGGTCATTGAGGCTTATCTCAAGGCAACCAATCAGTTGCGTAACTTTAGTGATGCATCGCAAGATCCAATCTTTACGCAAATAGTTGAACTTGACTTGGATACGGTAGTGACTTCTGTCTCAGGCCCAAAGCGTCCACATGATCGCGTATCTGTCAGCGAAATGCAGATGGACTTCCGCGAGTGTCTCACCAACAAGGTTGGTTTCAAGGGATTCTCCATTCCGGAAGCTGAACTGTCCACCGTTGGTAGCTTCAGCTGGAACGATGGTAAGACATACTCGCTTAAACATGGATCTGTCGTCATTGCAGCGATTACATCGTGTACCAATACCAGTAACCCTTCGGTCATGTTGGGAGCTGGTCTACTGGCCAAGAAGGCCGTAGCTGCAGGGCTAAAGGTTGCTCCGTACATCAAAACTTCACTGTCACCTGGAAGTGGAGTGGTCACGTACTACCTGCGGGAGTCTGGAGTTGTTCCAGCTCTTGAAGAACTTGGCTTCCACGTCGTCGGTTATGGCTGCATGACCTGCATCGGTAACTCCGGCCCACTGGACGATAATATCGCTAACACCATCGAAAAGAACAACTTGGTCTGTTGCGGTGTTCTGTCCGGAAATCGTAACTTTGAAGGACGTATCCACCCGAATACTCGAGCCAACTACCTTGCTAGCCCACTGCTTGTAATCGCCTATGCCTTAGCCGGAACCGTGGACATTGATTTCGAAAAGGAACCAATTGGAACTCAACCCGATGGCAGCAAGGTGTTCTTGCGTGATATTTGGCCTACTCGCCAGGAGATCCATGCTGTTGAGAAGCAACACGTCATTCCCGCTATGTTCCGGGACGTCTACGCGAAGGTGGAGATGGGGTCGCCTTCATGGCAGGGTTTGAACGCTCCTACCGGAAAGCTTTACCCATGGGACGACGTTTCCACTTACATCAAGCATCCACCTTTCTTCGAGGGTATGACTCGTGACCTACCCAAACTTGGCAACATTATCAACGCACGTGCTCTGCTCAACTTGGGCGATTCGGTAACGACTGATCATATTTCCCCCGCTGGTTCTATTGCTCGTAACAGTCCGGCTGCTCGTTATCTTTCAACTCGGGGATTGACACCTCGTGAGTTCAACTCATATGGCTCCCGTCGTGGAAACGATGCCGTGATGGCTCGTGGAACTTTTGCAAATATCCGTTTGGTTAACAAGCTGGTTTCCGATTCTGGACCACGAACCCTACACATTCCTAGTGGCGAGGAGATGGACGTTTTCGATTGTGCCGAACGGTATGTTCAGGAAGGAACCCCGTTAATCGCGATCGTCGGCAAGGATTACGGTAGTGGTTCCAGCCGTGACTGGGCCGCCAAGGGACCTTATCTACTTGGAATTAAAGCCGTCATTGCCGAATCGTACGAACGAATCCATCGATCGAATCTAGTCGGAATGGGAATGGTTCCACTACAGTACCTGGATGGACAGAATGCTGAAACTGTGGGATTGACCGGAAAGGAACAGTTCAGTATTGTTTTCCCGGAGAACTTGAAGCCACACGATAAGATCACAGTAGAAACGGACAGTGGCATCAAGTTCCAGGTGATTGTTCGGTTTGATACCGAGGTGGATTTGGAGTACTATCGTAATGGAGGAATTCTTAACTACATGATTAGAAAGATGATTTCTTAAGGAGGTGGATTTGAATCGGGTTTGGTTAGATTATAGGAAACGTTTAACGTTATGATATTCCTTATTGAAGGCCTCTTTTTAGGGTATGCTTTCCTTGAAACAGTACAGTGGAACTTTTTTTAAATCTAAATAAAGTAGAACTTTCGTATTAATCGATTTTCAATCATGATATCACTTCTCAAACCTTGTGTGTCTGCCGTTGATGTTGAAAAAAGCGAATGAATAACAACCAATATATAACAGGGTGGTTGCTCTATAAAGAGGAGAAGGACATAAACAGGAATGAATCTAGCTGTGACTAATGAGGGAAAGCAAAGGAAAGCAGGTTGAAAATTAAAAAGAAGCAGTTGATGGGTGGAAAATAAAATATTTAGAATTATAGCTTTTATGATAGTTTCGTGCATCGAGTGCAGACTCGAGGTTAACGCCCGAATCACGCCAGGTCAAGGCACTGCTGTCGAACCTTGGCTTATTGGTTGAAAGATGAAAATACTTTTTAGTCCTTGGATGACTTTTCACTATGTTCTTTGCTAAGGGGCATTATAAAAACTTCCAGTCGAAGGTTATTACTCGCCTGTTTTTTTTTTCCTTATTTAGAAAGGTCAAGTTTTAGATACCTTTGCTACAATTGTCAACAAGAGGCATGACCATACCAACTTCAATATTGTTATCCAGTCACAGACAACATCGCTTATAAGATAAGCACCTAGATAGTTGTATAATGATTTGTTGGCTCTTGTTTTGTTTCACTGGCACAGAGATGTTCTTTGAATTCTGGTTATTTTTTTCAGGTCAAGTTCGTAAAGATAGCTTAGTTTACTCTAGAGTAGGATAAACAACAAGGTTTCAATGTAAAAATCAACACGGTTAGTTGCGGCAAAAGTTCGAGTGGGGTAAAGTGTCGTTTAGAAGTTTTCGAAGCCAGA